CACACACACATGTAAAAATGTGTTTTAGATGCTATCCTAGCAATGCTGTTAGGAAAATTGAGAATATGAAAATTTTTATTCAATAGTACAAGTAAGAAATGTTCTGAGAGTAAAGGCCATCCAGTGGACTATAGAGAAAAGAAAGAATGAGAAATATTAAAATGTTGGAAGTCATAAGACTTACTGTTTTGATATTCATTGTTTTTGAGAGAGCAGTAATCTGGGCTGGTTTCTGGCTTAATTGGACACAGGGTATTCTTAAGGAGGAAAAGCATGAATTCATTTCTTCTGTATGTGCTTAATTTCCTGCCCACATGTTTCTCAGGGCTTGGGACTGTAGCTTAGTGGGAGATTTTTTGCCTAACATTTAAGGCCCTGGGTTCGAATGTCAGAACCATGAAGAAGAAGAAGGAGAAGGAGGAAGAAGAAAGAAGAAAGATTTTGTTGTTGTTGTTTGTTTTTCCAAGACAGAGTTGCTTTATGTAGCTTTGGCTGTCCTGGAAGTAACTCTGTAGACCAGGCTGGCCTTAAACTTAGTTATCCAATTGTCTCTGCCTCCCACGTGCTAGGGTTAAAGGTGTGTCATGTGCCATCACTGCCTGACTGAAAACAAAAAACTTTAAGAGGGGGCTGAGGCTGTAGCTCAGTGGTCAGTTGCTGCCATGGCATATATAAGGTCTGCCTTTAATCCCAATAACTGTCAAAAAAAAAAAAAAAAAAAAAAAGTGGGGTGGTGGAGGTGGAGGAAGGACTAATGTATCTGATTTTTAGAGAAATCTGGACCAATATTCATAGGCACATGGGTATAATGGTTAAAGGATTGTGTTTAAAGAGAATAAGAAGAGTGAGCTATAGTAGAACCAGGGGTGATAAAGACAGAAATGCACAAGTAACCATAGTCACTAACATCTGTAAGCCTTTGTTGTGGTTAAGAGAAATAATGTGGCCCAGCACTCAGGCAGAGGCAGGTTGATCTCAGAGAGAGAGAATGTGTATATGTAATAGTAATAACCTATAGACTTTCTAGCCTTATAAAATGGGTGTTATTTTTGAGTTTTCACCCAAAAATATAAATCTCTAAGTTGTTGTTCATTCTCTTTTTAACTATAAAAATTAGGTATATTTACTCTGAATTTTGAAAACAAATAGAAACATTTTCCTAAAGTTATTTTTGAACATTAAGAATGCTAATTCAGTAATGCCCTGTTTATGCAGGTAGATGGTAAACACAGAAAAAAGAACTCACTGTTTGAAAGACTTCAAATTGATATTCAACACTTGTGTTTGAGTAAGTCGCATAACTTTCCAATACTCTATCTAAGTCAGACATTTCAAACTCTGGGGGCTGCTTAGAATTCTGTTCCCACAGACCTGTGCTTTAGGAAGAACAAAGTAACACTAGTGCTTTGTTAATATAAGTATATGTAAAGTGTAGTATGATATGCAGGAAGTTAAAACTGTTGATAAGTCCTTATTAATTTTGAGTAAGGCAAGTATGATGGTGCACACCTTTAGTCCAAGCACTCAAGATGCAGAGGCAGGTAGATCTCTGTGGTTTCCAGGCCACCCAGAGCTGCATAGTGAGACCTTGTCTCAAAAAAATTAACTTGAAATGTTTAAACTAGCCTTCAGACTATAGTTAACATGACTGTCAAAATCATTAGAGGAGATAGTTCTCTGTGTGGGTAGTATATAAAAGAATTATGTCACGAAGAAAGTAGCTTATTGCTATGGAATTAACATTCCATATAGACACATACACACACACATGCATGCACACCCACACATGTACACAACCACACACACACACACACACACACACACACGAACACACGAACACACATGCATACATGTAGTGATAAGTCTTTCTGCCAGCTGCCTGAGCTCCACTGCCACGTTAAGGCCCCCAAATAACACACAGAGATTAAGATTAGTTACAATGCTGCTGGCCAATGACTAGGATTTCTCATTTGCTAGCTCTTTCCTCAGTATCAACCATAACCATTAATCTATATATTTTATAAAGACTTATTTTATTGAGGACATCAGCAGCACACGGCCTCTCTTCCCGGCATCACATGGCGATTCTGTCTTTACTACATTTCCCAGAATCCTCCTTGACTCCTAGTCCCACCTGTCTTGCTTTCCTATTGGCCAACAGTGCTTTATTTATCAACCAATAAGACAAACATATACACAGAAGGCCTTCCCCCATCACATACACATACCCCTTGGTCGTTCTCTTTAGTGCCTTTTCTTTATACTTTTTCTAACTTTTTTTTCTTTTTCTTTTCTTCTTTGTATTTTGAGACAGGGTCTTCCTATGTAGTCCTGGCTATCCTGGAACTCACTGTAAACCAGGCTGGCCCCAAACTCACAGAGATCTGCCTGCTTCTGCCTCTGCCTCCTGAGTGGTAAGATTAAAGGTGTGTACCACCACAGCTGGCTCTTCATATTTGAAAAGATAGTAGTGTAAACATCAACAAATATCTTCCATTCACTAATCTTATTCTAGTCTTGAGAAGCAACCAAGCATTTGTATATAAATCATTGTATTTTCTTCTGCTCAACTGAAGCCAAGGATAGTATTTACTCCTGTAATTCCAGCACTTGGGAGGCTGAGGTAGGAGGATCACCCAGACTACATAATGCATTCCAGGCCAGCCAGTACTACATAATGAGACAGGGGAAATTTGTTTGTTTGTCATGTGCTAAACACAGATACAGTTTTAGGATGTTTACTGGATTCTGTGAGAATTGTTTGTTTTCACATATTTCATTCACAAATTCAAAAATTCTAAAAACCCTTCTTTTGGAAGGACACATTAATACTTTGTATCATAAACAAACTAACGTAATTCTTATTCTTTCTGTCTCAGACAGGATTCCTGTGCTACAAGAAGGAAGACTGCCTGTGGTAGGAATTGGGAAGCATCTGTGTGGGGTCGCAACAGGTAAGCCAGGTGGACGTTTGGTAACCTCTAAACTAACACACTAAGC